GGGGGGCAGGGAGGGCAGGCGGGGACCAGGCGGGGGGCAGGGTTTTGTGTTATAGGTGGGGTTGCTGCTGTCAGTAAACTCCAATTCCCACAGAATCCTCGACTCACCCAGCTACTCCCACACAAACCAACACCAACTTCCAGATAATTCCCCAATCAACAATAAACAGGCAATCTTCTCTTACTTAATTGGCATGACCAGTAGATACTGTTTAAGGCAGCCAATTTCATTTCCCCACGGTAACACCAGCTCTAAGTAATTTCCCCATGATAATCACTCCATCAACCACGTCAGAACAAAAGGACAGCATTTACCCAAAGACAGAGCAGGAAAGGAGGACAAGTGGAAATGGGGAACCTCGGGAGGAAGTGGGAAGAGTGCTGTCCCACTGAGAGATCGCAGCTGACAGCACGAAAAAAGATGTGCATGAATCACTGACCAGGAAACTGACGGATGTGCGCTGCAAACATTCACCCAAATCAGAACCAGGAAGAAGACAGGCCCAAAGATGGGTGGCCGGTGTAAGCACATTGACTCCACGCAGAGGCATTTGACTGTGTGAATCCTACAAGCTGTGGCTAACATTGAGAAGAATGGAAATCCCACACTTAATTGTGCTCCCGTGAAACCTGTATCTACAGCAGGGACTGATGTGAGAACAGACCAAGGGAACACTGCATGGTTTTACAATTAAGAAGGGAGTCCACCAGGGTTGTATTCTCTTCATACCTATTCTGTCTGTGTGCTGAAAGTATTTAAGAAGACGGACTCTATGAAGATGCAACAGGATAGGAGGGAGACTCATCAATAAACCGCATTATGCCAATGACACAACCTTGCTTGCTGAAAGTGAAGAGGATTTGAAGTACTTGTTACAGAAGAGTAAGGAATGCAGCCTTCAATATGGATTGCATTGCAACGTCAAGAATACAAAGATTCTTACCACTGACCAGACTGACAGGCAACATCATGCTAGATGAAGAAAAGACTGAAACTGCAAACAATTCCATCTTATTTGGATCCACAATTAACAACTTTGGTTGCAGCAGTCAGGAAATTTGTAGATGTAGTGCACTGGGAAAGTCTGCGGTTAGGAACCTCTCCAGACTATGGAGGAGTAATGATGTCACTTTGAGGACTAAGGTGTGTCTGAATCAGGCCATAGTCTTTCTGATCACTTGCTATGCATCTGAGGGTTGGACAGTGAGTAAGGATGATGGAAGAATTGAGGCCTTTGAGCTGTGGTGTTGGAGAAGAGCACTGAACACCCCAAGCATTTCCAAAAGAACAAATATGTCTCGGAGAGGGTGCAGCCAGAGTGCTCTTTGGAGGAAAGGATGATAAAGCTTTGCCTCACATATCCCAGGATGTTGCTAAAAGGGTCTATTCCTTGGAGACATGATGCCGGGAAGGTGGAGGGTGGGCGAAGCAGAGGAAGACCCTCAACCAGGAGGACTGACACGGTGGCTGCTGCAATGGGCTCTAATGTGTCAGGACAGGACAGGGTTCAGATCTGTTGTTCAGAGGGTCCCTGTGGGTCATACCTCTGGTGGCCTAGCGGTTAAGAATCTGCACTGCAATCCCAAGGATGGCAGTTCGAGTTAGCCAGCTGCTCCACAAGAGAAGGATGGGCAATCCCCTCCCACCTGCGGGTCCTCCAGGGCTCCAGTTGGGACTGAGGGGCTGGCCCGCGCTGTTCACCACCTGCCCGGCCACGCAGGACAGACATGAGTGGAGCTGCAGGCTGTACTCGGAGCGCCGGGAACTCTGTCGGGGTCCTGGTGCGACAAAGGGACAAACTCAGGCAGCAGAGCTCTCACGTCTCATCAGTCTTTCAGCCTGATGTCTTCTCCTTGGCCTCAAAGCATTAAACGTCAGAGACGGGATGCACAAAGAACAGAATTGTGTGTGCGCAAACAAACGCATGTATGTGGATGTGAGTGGGGGGGGACAGTAAGAAGGCCCCAAAATCCAGGAAATGCCCCAACATCACAGAGGGATAGGGTTTTTGTAACTTTCAAAACCCAAACCTCCTGCCCAGTGGTGAATGTGACCCACAGCGACCCTGGAAGACAGAGGTGACCTCCCCCACATGTGTGTAAGGTCGTCTTCAGGGGCGCAGGGCCACGTTCCCCCGAGGAGAGGCTGGTGGCTTCAAACTACTGACCAGCTTAGCAGCGGAATGCCCCAGCCACAGAGCAACCAACTCCTGACATTCAAAACAAGGACAAAAACCCAAAATCCAAATAAACGAGTAAGTGAACGATCCAGTCACAGAGGATGCGGGGAGTCTCTGAGGGGGCCACAGGTGGGGTCCTGAGGACACCCAGAGGACACACCAGAGAACAGTCACCCCTCCATGAAAGTGGGGTGTGGGGTCCCACGGTTTTTGTGAGGGCAGTGGTGTGCCATTTACAGGCCATGTGCAGAGCTGCGTGGAGAAGTCCTGAGGCCTAGCGTGGCTGCGGGGCAGTGGCGTGGCGGGTTAGCCCTGTCCAGCAAGGGCACGGGGGTACGGTATTGGGGTGTCCGAGTGACCACCCCTGCTGCTGTTCCCACACACAGAGCCTTCTGCTGACGTCCAACCTGGCATCGGCCGCACGTCTAATGAGCTCCTGGGGAGACAGTTCCTGCCTGAGCTGGCCAATTAGACCAGAGGCCACTGTCATCAGGTCTGTGCAGGGGTCTCTGCTAATTAGCGGCGTCCAGCCTCTGCTGCACTGACCTCTGAAATGCCAGGAGCCTCTTCAGGTCCACATGCCCAGTGGGAGGTGCATTCTCCCGCCCTCGGCCACCACCGTGTACCACATCTGGGAACAGCTCGTCTCCATCACCAAGCCTCCCATGGGCTCCGAAGCCCACTCACCGCCAAGCCCCGGCTGAAGGCCTGGCTCGGGGAAGGCAGTCGGGCACCCCAGACACGTGCAAGGAGGAGTACGTGTAACCGTGGGCACCGACACCCACACCTGTACCACACCTGTGCCCACCATGCTCCCATGTCTGCGCCCACGCTGAGTCTTGACCCGATTCCCACAGCTGTACCCCTCCTGGTCCCTCACTGCCCTCTTCCCTGGACCCATTCCTGTGCCTACACTGGGCTCACACTACAGAGAATCTGTGTCCATTCCGTCTCATTCCTAGTCCTCTAAGCTTTCGTACCTGTGCCCACACCTGTCCCTGGACTGCATCCCACACCCTGCATCCATTCTGACCTGCATCCATCCTGTTTCCACACCTGGGTCCACATCTGCTCCCATCCCTGTACACACACCCCGTGCGGTGTGGAGATTCAGTCTCACAGATACACTGCAGTCAGGATCAGTGTCACAGCGAGGGCTGCAGGTGTGGAGCCAGGTGTGAGCTCAGGTGGGGGAACAGGTGGAAGCACAGGCAGGAATAAGGACTGGGCATGCTGTGTCCCACTGAGTCAGAACTGACTCACAGCTGACCCTCCAGAGGGTTTTCTGAGGCTGCCAATCACAAAGGAGGACACTGCCATCATTCTCCTGCAGAGCACCTGGTGGATTTGAACCGTACGCCTTCGGGACTGCAGCGCAGGTTCTTACCACTAGGCCACCAGAGCTTCTCAAGGGTTGGGCATAAGTATGGAGAAAGGGACAGGAGTCATATAGAACAGGGAAGAGAACAGGTGTGGGCATAGGTGTGGAAACGGGTTTGCAAAGAGGAAAGGGTAAGGTATGGGCCTAAGTATGGAATTGACGTAAGAACAGATGTGGGTATGGGTATGGGAGTAAAAGAGACGTGGGCGTCCTCCCAGGTACGAAGGGCCATGTGTCCTGAACTCTGTGGCCACGACATCACTGAGTGATGTGCGGAGAGGACCAGGGATTAGCAGTAGAATATTCTCCATGATGGCTGAGCAGCCTGGGTCAGTCTCTTAACCTCTCTGGGCGCCCCCAGCATGGATCAAAGAGGACATCACGTGGTGGTGAGGAGCAGTCGCTCCAGGGCTTATAAAGGGCCTGAAGCGGCAGGGTCTCCCTTAAATGAGTGTGCGAGTCTCCGGGCCCCAGACTGGGAGTTCTGGTCCAGCCTGAGTCCATACACCAAGTGCAGCCTCCCACCGGGCTGGTGGCAAAGTCGACCAGCGCAGTGCCGTGGGGAACAGCCTGGCATTTCCTCAAAAGGTTAAACAAGGAAATCACCACACAGTCTGGCCACCACACTTACGGCTGTGCCCCCCCAAAAAACACCACCAGAAACCAGTATCCAAACAAAAACCTGTACATGTCTGTTCACAGTGGCGCTACACACGGCAGCCACAAACAAACTGGAATCCCCGAGTCTATGAAGAGGTGAGCGTATCCACAGAAATGAAGTACAGAAATCCCACGAGCATAAAAATGATCGCCATTCTGACACGTGCAATGGTGGACAAAAATACTCAGGGAACTACACCAGCCACCAAAGATGCCATGTCGTCTGAAACCAGCGGTTCCAAACGCTCAGCTCAGGCAAACGCAGAGACACCGGGGGCTGGAAAGGGGCCAATGGAAACAGCCAGCCAAGGGCTCTGGCTTTTAGCTGGAGAAACAAGAATGTTTTCAAACTAGATTGCTGTTGTTAAGAGAGTAGGTATCTTAGCACAGTTGAGCTCCCAGAGGATTTCCAGAGGCTGTAAATCTTATGGGAGGAGACTATCTTTCTCCCTTGGAGCAGCTGGTGGATTTGAACTGCATGCCTTTGGGTTGGCAATGCAACTCATTACTCACTAGGCTGTCAGAGCTCCATTCAGACTAGATAGAAATGATTTTGCAACAATCCATTCAAAGCCACTGAACTGTTCATGCTAAAATGGTGACACGTCATGTGAATCTTATCTCCATAAAAATTAAAAAGAATAATAAGAAGACGAGGAAGCACTTAACATCAGAAACACTGACTCATGGCTTCACGTGGCACTTGAAGGAGGAGGAACCATTCCCATTTTACAGACTGGGAAACTGAGGCATGCATAGAGCCAGGGCTGGACATCAGCTTTCTAAGCCCTGTGGTTGAATTTTGGGGTTCAAGGCTGTCCATGTCCCCTGCCCCTGTCCCTTCAGAGAGCAGTCTGGGGTGAGGATTGGGGGACACTCACCATTTTTGTCTGCTCGGCGGAAGATCTGCAGAGGAGAAAGTTGGGATCAGCTTTGGGCCCAGGACATTGCCCACGTGGGCTTCAAACCCAAACTTCCAGACCACTCCTCCCCACTCGAAGCCAACCCCCAGCAGATGCGGCCTGAGGAGCTGAGCCCCCTCCCTGGGGTGGTGGTGGTGGGGTGGTTTAAAGGCCCTGGCAGACTGCGGAAGCAGCCACCCACTCTCCTGCTTCCGCCAGCTGGTCCAGGCTGTGTGGACACACGGACGGACACACACACACACACACTGTCCATACTGCCCACACACATTCAGTGCCCGTGGCACCCACCCATGCACACACACATGGTCACACACACCACACACAGAATCAGAGCTCAAGATCACAGCCACACGCACCCTCTCAGGGGCCCCTCAGAACCCAATTCCCCATGGCTGGGAGGTTAAGGGGTAGGGGGCAGGATGAACCATTTTCTGGGAGGGGAATGTGTGGTGCAGGTGCCAAGGGCTCAGAAACCAGATGGGGCTTCCAGGCTGCAGCAGGCAGAGAAAGGGAGCACCCACCCCCAAACCTGGTCAGGAAGGTGGACTCTGTCTTCTGGTTTTCCTCAACATCTCCAGCCCTGGGCAGAGCACTAGCCAGTCCACCCCAAGGCTGGGGTGCCCAGTGAGGGGCGCTCCTCTCAGCTCCTCCACTGTAACCATCGCTGGGGGAGGGGACTCTATGAACAGCTCTGCTCAGGCCCCACCCAGGAGCAAGCCAGCAGCCCCTCAGGTGGGACTGAGCAGGGGATCTGGGAGTGTGAAGCTGCCCAGGTACGGCCACTGCTGAAGCCTGAGCTCCTGCACCTGTTCCTGAGTGAGAACCTGCTTTTCACCAGGTGCCTGGAATCTCACGTGCGATCCCAGCAAAGGGGGACCCTAATGTCCCACGTCAGGGAGACACACAGCGTCCCTGCCTTGACCTGGGCCTCAGGCCCCTAGTGCTAAAACAAGCTGGTTAGGCTGAGCGAAGGGACGTGGCCTCAGACTCTTCACCCCCATACCGTCCTGGGGCTCAGGCCAGCTTAAGCTGCCTTCTCACCCCTGCAGCACTGGGGCATCACCTCTTTTTCTGGGTGCAGGGGCTGCACCAGAGCAAAGCCATGTCCCCACCCTTGACACTCCTAAACCCTGAGTGCTGGGGATGGACAGGAATCACTTTGGCTAAAAGGGAAATCAGACCCAATCCTCCTCCAAAACCAGCCTGGGCACCTCACACCCACCCTCCTAAATGTGTAAATCCCAAGGCTCGGGGTCCCACAACACCTCTGGATCTGAACCTGGCACACATCTGCTCTGGGACCTCTGAGTGGCAGTGAATGGTGCTGGGGGGGGGCACCTCTCACTTCTCAGAAGGCCCTAGTGGTCAAAGGACCAGAATCAGGAGGGTCTGGATGAGCCTGGCCAAGGTGCCAGACCTCAAAGTTCTGATGGGGGGGACGTAGGTGCTGAAAGGAGAGACAGAGATAGTTTATCTCTGTCCCCACCGGGCCAGCCCTCCTTGCCCAGACCTGGCCACAGGCTCCAGGATGGCGGGAAGCAGGCCTCAGCCACGCACAGGCAATTATGCATCCTACATTCACACACTCCCAGAAACGCAACCCACACCTCTCCACAAACCATCACACACCCACGTGGAGGTACCCTCACCCCCATCAACACACACCTCATAGGGCTCTCAACCAGAGTGGGGGAACCCCTTAGGAAGCCCCCTCCACTGTCATTCTCAGGGATTCTCCCTGCCCCACCTAGGAGGATGGGATGCCGGGCAGGATGGACCCAGTGGGGAGGGGAGGAGAGAAAGGGAGGGAGAAAAAGAGGAAGGAGGGAGGGGGAGGAAAGGAAGGAGGGCGGGGAAGTGAGGGGTGAGTCTGGGGTCCCAGAAGCAAACAGTGCTCTGGGGTGAGAACGACAGAGGCAGAGAGGGATTCAGAGCAATGTGGGGGTGATGAGGGAAAGCCCTGGCTAGGGTGGGGGGCGGTTTGGAGTCTTTGAGAAGGGGACTGAATAATGAGGAGGGGCTTCACTTGAGACCTCCAGGCCTGGGTCTGGCACCAGAAGGGAGGGTAGCCAGGGTCTCAGGAAAGTGGGCCACTCTGATGGGGGTGGGGCTCTCACTCGGAGTGGGGGTGAAAGGTGGGGTGTAGGGCTGGGTAAAGAATGGTGGCTTGCCCAGGACAAAATTAGGGGGAGAGCAGATCCAGGGGGCAGAGCCCTGAGAGGGGAGGGGAGTCTTCGAGAAGTGAGGGGAGGTACGAGGGAGGGGACCCCGGTTTAGGGAGGTGAGGACACCAGGTGGATAAGGGGATCCCATCCATGAAGGGAGGAGGGCTCCAGCACAGAGGTCCTGCCAGGGCCATGGAGGGCTGGGCGCTGTTGCGGTGGGTAGGGGAGAATCCAGGTCAGTCCCCCCCACCGAGGGAAAAGCCCGCATCCGAGTCCCCCCCTTAGTCAGAGGGAAAACCTCTATCAGCTTCCCGGTCCTAAGAGGCAGGGTCCCAGCAGGGAGGGCGTCTCCCCAGAAAGAGGGTGCTCTGGGTCCCTGCAGGAACGGGAACGGGGTCTGTTTTGGGGTTTCCCAAAGAGAAAGGATTCGAGGTTTCAATAGGAACGGGGACCCATGGAGGGTTTCCTCCCACAGAGAAGAGGGCGCGGGATGCTGGCAGAAAGAAGGATCCATGTTGGGGTCTGGATCCCTGTAGGGATGGGGGACCAGCCGTGATGGGTTCCCCAAAGAGGAGGGGTGCGGGATCTCAGCAGGAATAGAGGGTCCAAAGGAAGTAGTATCTCAGGAGGAAGGGGAGATCTGTGTCAAGATTCCCCTCAGCAGAAGGGAGCGCGGGGTCCCAGCAGGAATGGGGATCAGTGTTGAGTTTCTATAAAGGGGGGGCAGTGAGCAGGGGTCTGTGTCTGAGTCCTCTGGAGGGAGGGGCGCGGGGTTCCCCCCCACCCCGGCAGGAACAACGGGGGTCGGTGTAGGAGTCCCCGGGAGAGAAGGGCGCGGGACCCTCGGAGAGTTGGGGCGCGAGGTTTTAAGGGAATGGGCGTCCGTGTAGGGCTCCCCCGAAAGGATGGGCGCGGGGTCCCGGCAGGGACGGGGGTCGGTGTCGGGGTTCCTCTGTAAAGGAGGGGCGCGGAGTTCCGGTGGGAATGGGGGTCCGTGTAGGGGGTCCCTCGGAGAGGGGCGCAGGGTCCCGGCAGGGACGGGGGTCGGTGTCGGGGTTCCTCTGTAGAGGGGCGCGGAGTTCCAGTGGGAATGGGGGTCCGCGTAGGGGTCCCCCGGAGAGAAGGGCGCGGGACCCTCGGAGAGTTGGGCGTCCGTGGAGGGGTCCCCGAGAGGTCCGCGAGGTCTGGCCCGGCCGGGGTGTACTCAC